CACCGGCATTTTCGACAATGGACTGGTAGATGCCCCGCTGCTGATATGTTCTTTAACGAAGCAGCATATATTCCCTTGTCCAGTCGTTGATGCAACGACCGGTTTGGCCTTTATAGCACCGACCGGTTTGGCCTTTATAGCACCAACCGCATGGATAATAGGATGTCATATATGACTTCTTTTTCACAAGATGCATATTTTGTCCTGTGAGCAATGTCACCAACTTCTCTTTTAAATTCTCCCTCCTGGTTTACCCTGCGACACATAGAATATGCCTTATTCGGCGCAGAGCAAACCACGTGAACGCCTTGCCGTCCAGCAACCTTCTTCAATCTGTGAGATATATTTATTTATTTTATTTATTTACAGAGTACCTACATCGCCTCGAGGGCATTATTGTAGGAGGGGCGGGAAATAACACACATACATAAAAACACAAAGTGGTCACTTGTCCGCACAGATTAGATATACAGCCGAGAAAAAAATACACTGTTGTCCAAGGTGCTCACCACATCATCAGGCAGCAAGTTCCACTCTCTAATTGTCTTTACAAAAAAGGATGACAGAAGCTGTTTGTTTTATAGGAATATTCAAAAACTTTTCTAGAGTTATCACACCTAGCTGAAACATACGTTGGTCCCAAAAGATACTCATTCTTATTAATACCAGTATTATTATAATAAATGCGATGGAAAAACTTCAATCTTAATTTTTGCCTTCGGAATCTTTTGACAAAATGCACCGCGACACAGGAGGAGAGTGAGACCCGCTGTAATACTTTATATCCCCCTCAGGCAATTTAGCCATTCACTGCGATAGATGTCCTTACGCCCCGGAATCGGAACAAACAAAAATTCTGGGAAAGCGAAGATGCAAAATCTCGAGAGAGCTGTACGAGTCATTCAACATTAGAGTGCAGGGTAATGACATATGCATAAGTGCCACGATAGTCCATCTAACAGACAAGGAATTTGAATTCCAGCTTGAGAAGACCAATTGGGTGAATAAATAGTGTGTGGTGTTTCAATAAACATTTAGTCGAAAGCAGCCCTTCGAGTTGTTTCCCTTACTCTGCCCCTGTCTTGCGGCGCATTTTGTCAAAAGAGATCATGTACCAACTGGCCCATCTGTCACTATTGATGCTGTGTGTGATGCCGTGGATATAAGTCGCAATCACTATAGGCTTTCGTGTATTTTCCTTTGGCCATTTTCTTCAGGGTTCCACTTCTTACAGTTGCAGATCTTTTCACACGTCGCTATCAATACTGCGTATGAGTAATTGGCATCTTGTAGCCTTGATCTTTGTGTTTGGAAGCTTCGCTCAACTTGATGACTGCAGGACTTTTTAAGGGCAGATGTAAGTGCTGTAGTGGCTACACCTCGTTTCACTTTTTTTTTAATGTCCAGAGTCAAAAGGAACGAATCCTTTACAGGATCTATCTTGATACCTCCAGCCCTCGTGACCAACCGTAAACTTCAGGGCCAAATCCAGGAATCTTATAGACTTGTCCACAGGAAGCTCGTAGGTGAACGAGGGACCAAAGTAGCTCTGTTGGAAACATCTCATAACAATTTCATGGCACTCGTTGGTTTCTTCATCCACCTCCGTGTTGCATAAAACCAAGAAATCGTCGACATACCTGAATACCACCTCGATCCTAAGATCCTTGACGATCTTTTGAATTTTAATTCCTTCCACATGCCGCGAGAAACACATCACAGAGAACTGGGGCCATTCCAGATCCGATGTACACACCGGTTTCTTTGTACATATCGTTGATAATGGCATGACACTACCGTCGTTCTTAGGTAGACGCTCAGTAGCTCCAGAAAACTGTCTAGGTTGATTCCTGCCACATTCTGGAACGAGATGTCACCCTGCTTCTCTATGATTGTTCGGAGAATGTGTAAAAGGCTTGCATGTTTAATTTAATAAAGCATGTCCTGAATGTCGATGGAAAAGCTAGAAATAATTTCGGAGCCCTTTTCTTTGAAGGAAGGCGATCACACTTCCTGAGTTAGGTACCTTGAAAGGAACTTGTATCTAGACCATGGACAAAAGCTTATCCAAAAAGGTTGACAAATGAGCTTGCCATGTTCCTCTTTCCGAAACAATAGCACGAAACAGAACATCAACCTTGCGGGTTTTGGCGGAGAAAAAAACGTAAAGGTGGTCCTTCTTTGTTCCTTTGATTTTTGTGGCAAGGCTTTCCTGGAGGTTTCTTTCAGGTATTTATAAGATGACTTTTTTTTGTAGAGTTTGTTCTTCTTTTTTCCATCTGAATGAAGTTCTTAGTTACTGCCTGATTGACCCGTGCGTCGTACTTGCCAGACTCAGGGACTACAATCCCTCATTCTTTGTCTGACACACGGAGCTTAAGGTTTTTCTCCGAAATTTGTGTCTCGCACGCCTAAGGGGTCAGGCACATAAAAAAAATGAGCTTCGGATGGACAGCAACATGAGTTGTGGAGCAAATATGTTATAACCAACGGGTCATAACATTCAAGGAGTCAAAACATACATTAGGTCTCTTGACACAAGAGTCAAAACATCCAACGCGTCAAAACATCCATACGGGTCTAAACATCCATAGAGTCAAAACGTTTATCGTGTCAGTACATCGATCTGAGTCAGAACATCCATAAAGTTAAAACGTCCATTGAGTCAGAACAACCACCCGGAGGCTTGAAAGCCGGGGACCTTGAAAAGTTGTAAGATATATATATATAGTTGAGTCACTCTTGTACACATAGCTATCATGTCGTTTTTAATGTTTCTCTATAAGGTTGTATGCGTAGACACATGCATAGCGTAATCAATTGTCCGCATGATTTTTTTTTTTTTGTGCTTAAGTGCTTCATACAAAGACTTCGGTTGTTTTTAGGCACAAAGAACTAAATAAATGAACAAATAACTTATAAGATAACGCATGTACTTCCCGATGACGGTTCCGGGAAGGATGCAATTCATCTTCGCAAGGGACCTGCTCGCTGCTCAGCCACCGGTATTTCCACTGGACGCTGCTGGGCTGGAACAATTTGCTAAGTGTTTTGACTGCTTCTGGCTCTCGAAAACAGTTGTCAAAAACATCTGGGGCCAGTTTGAGAATGATGGACCACGCACCACCAACATGGTGGAAAGGTGGCATAACGGGCTGCACAGCCGGCTGATGAGTCATCATCCAGACTTGGCTGAATTCATACAGTTCCTGAAAGTTATCCAGCATCCCTCGCAAAACAGGTTCCAGGCACTGCTTTTGGATCGCCTGTACAGGCGGTTCAAGTGAACAGACGTAACAAACGGCTGCAGGAGGAGATGGCTATGTTTTTGTGCTACGGCGACTGCAGTTTCAACATTTCAAGACGTGCTGAACTACGTTGACATAATTTCAATGGTTGGAGTCCTTCCATAAAACGAACTGACTAGTACCGTAGCCGGCTTGCCTGAAAATGAGTAATTTTTATTGATGTATAATATACAGCCAATAAACCGTTTTGAATGCCTCGGGCCATACTGGCATTCTACTCAGCGACCTTTCATAAAATATCATAGCGTCACAGCTCAGAGTGAAAGTCGGGGTACAACGTATACTCCGTTAACCCCTTGGTCTATAGTGCGGTGGAAGCGCTGTGGAAGCGCTATAGAACCCATATTTTCGCAAGTGCAACCAATAGGTTCTAAACCAGTGGAAACATGCCCCCGCACTCAAAGCTGCTTCGACCGCCACCCCCCCCCCCCCCCCCCCCAATCCCTCCCCCCCTCCCCCCGCACCTCTCTTCGTCGGGCTCTACAACACACCCGACTAGGGTGACCACCCGTCCCGCGACTCGCGGGACTGTCCCGCATTTAAGGGCTCGTGTCCCGCGTCCCGCGAAAAAATCCCAAATCTTCAAAATGTCCCGCATTTCACATTGTCGTAAAATTCGCTCTGCAATTCATGGTGCCGCCGAACAACGGGCACGGGGCAGCCACGTTTGGCTTGACATGATGGCGCACCGTCCAGTATGTAAAAACAACTCTTGTGTATGACCCGAAGTAGAAGGAAGAGTGCGGGTTTTTAATTTTGGTTATCGTGTTTAGTGAGGTTTATGTGTGTATATTGTTTGTCTGTATGTATGTATCAGTAGTTGGTGACATGTATTCTTTCTTTGGAAGCCTTGTTAACCCGTTCGTTTCAAGTTGTCAATCATTGTTTCTTCAATATGTGCGTTCTCACTAATAGATCTCCGAAGATTCTATCAGAATGCAGCCTTCATTTCTCTGCACTGCGCTTCGTCAGTGGTGAACTACACGATGCGACATGAGCCCCCAAACGTCGCCCCCACACATCAAATATACTTCCGGAGCCCCTGGTGACACTAGCTGTGTAATGGTAATTAGTGAGGATGAAACGAGCAGACCTGTTTTGGATGGCTTTTAAATGCATGACTACTAATCTTCAAATAAAATCATCCCCTTTAAATAAACTGCAAGAAGATTCGCATGCCCTAATTCACACTGTCATTAAACTTGAAGAAGCCAAAAGGTGGTGCATTTTTTATATATGTATATAGCCACCCGGCAACGGCCAGACGGTATCAGCATAATGAGAGCCCACGGTTAGACCCTGTCTCGTTGTAATTTGGCAAAGGGTGAACGCTACGCCCTGTACAGAAAGAGCCCTTGTCCTGTCCGTTATCTACTTGTCCTTGTCTATCGCGCTAACTGTTTGGGAGACGTTTAACCTATAGGTCGTCAACTTATGTTGTTGCGATAATAGAGAGTTTTAGGGAACCGTTTTTGCACATCTGATAAGGTACGGTGGGCCTTTCGGTACGAACTGATCATGCGCTACCAGAGAAGACTCCGATATGCGCAGTTCGTACCGGAGGGTCCATCGTACCGCATTGGATGCGCAAAGACGGTTCCCTAAAACTCTCTAGTAAGATGTTAGGTTCTCGTCACGCCCTGCGTTTCTTGAGGTGTCGCTGTCTCTAACAATAAAACCGCCTCCGATCAGGTGTTGTCCTGTTACCACGGCAAGACGCTGGAGACTCCGGCCGAGCACCCGGACGCTGTCCTGACCGAAATCGTCTCCGGAGGCGACTTCTGTCACCCCTCGTTGGGCACCTGCATGTACGACCTCCTGACCGACCCTTGGGAAAGATTCAACATCTACAAGCCCGATCACCCTGTGAGTCCCAAACAAAGCATTGAAGAAGGTCTGTCACGAATGAAGGTGACGAGAGGATGAGCAGTGAACTGAAAATAAAGGTTTAATTGGCGAAATTGTACCAAATAAATAAAGAACGAGCGTCCAGGCAGCAGTAAAGCAGGCGGCGATTTGGCGGCGTAACAGCAAGCGAGAGCGAGACTGACTCGACAAGGTCCCGCGCAGTTCCTTATAAAGTGTGCGTGACTACCTCAAAATTCGGCTAAGAAGCTTCGAGCGTCTTGCGCTTGGGGCGAGAAATAACAGGCACTTTCGAGAACAAGAAACTAGGACGAAATGATAGAAGTTACGTCCCAAGTAAGAATAAACGCGAGTCTTCTTGAATTCCGTTACCGAGCGTTGCTTGTTCGGCCCTGCGCGCGGCAATATGTTGACACGTGGGAACACGACTCACGGTGACCCAACAATCGAGGAAAAATGTTTGCGACCTAAAACCTGGCTTTTTGTTGTTATTTTTTCGACAAGAAATATACCGCTTTTAGAGCAATGCGCTCAAGGCGCATTGCTCTACACTGGATAACGAAACAGAACTCTGAATATTTTAGAAGTAATAGGCCCTCTGCCACCTATATGTATAAATAAAAATAATAAAATTCATCATATGTCACTTCTACACTCAATAAAACACCAAAACGAGCTTATAAAAAAAATGAGTGCGTAGTTAGGTAGGAGATGCAACTTATATGCGAACATAACGTAAAGGAACAAATAATCTGGCGCGTGTTAAACATGTTGAAAAGCTTATTTAATTAAACGCGCCCTGAGGAGGTTTCTGACGTCGCCTAAATATTTGCCGATAACTAACTCTGCGAGCTCAAAGCATCTTAGAAAGTCATCAATCATAACGATGCGTGGCCGATTTTCTTATTAATGAACAATCAAGGATTGAAATTATCTTCGGCGAGGAGGGGAGCATTGTAGAGGCAGCCAGGACGGCATGTGACCAGTGAAAACGGGACATTTCGTTGAGATTGGAAACGCTGTTATTACAAAATGTGTATGTTTTTGTAAATGATGGAGGCAGGTAAGAGTAGCCGAAATTGTTAATTTTTCGCGGAGTGGGAACTTGGTCTTTGTGGACGCAAGCGGTACGGGTCTCAAGGGTGAGTTTTCCAACTGAGTGTTTTAGTAACGTCGGTTGAATCGTTGTTTTGTCTGAATGGGCAACGAGCCGCGCGCATTCGGGATATCACTCCGCTACCACATTGGTCGGAGGCGGGAGGATTCTTCGCGTGCTATTGACTAACAGTGGTTCTGGTTTCGGAACATGCTCCTTCCATCGCCGGAGATAAAATCGGAGTGTTGCGATCTTCGATTGCTTTCTTAATAGGCAGATCGGCCGCGTATCGTCATGATTTAGGAATTTCTAAGATGCCTAGAGCCAGCAGAATGAGTTATCGCCATATTTAGGCGATCTCAGAAACCTTGTCAGGGCACCTTTAATGTAGTTTGTGTATAATCAAGATAAGCAGTGTTTGACGTGAGCTGTCGAGTATGTTTCTCAACACGTTTAAGGATGGATCCGCATATATATATTACGTCTTCTCGCATTTTCGGTTCTATAAGAAATTGTTCTTATTTGTATGTACAGCTTCATTGGCCTATACTACTCCTGCTTAGGCCAACCACTAACCCGCAGTATGTTCTTAGTTAAAACGAATTACGCAAGCATGATCATGCTGACTAAGACCAGGAGCACAAAATGCGCCCCGTACAAACCACACTCCGTGTGTCGTTTGTGCTAGTTTGTTCATTGTGCACCACAGATGTTGGCCAGGGCGAGATGCAGCGAACGAGCGCAACGCACGGTTAAAAGTAATTTAGTAATAGTAACGGTTACAAGTATTTTATTACTTCAAAAAGTAATTATATTACTATTGTGATTACTGCATCATAAAAGTAATCAACTGATTACAAAATTACTCCAAAAAGTAAGCGATTACAAGTAATTTTGTTACTTGTAATGCGTACGGTACAAGTCTGCCGACAGCCACCATACCGACCCGGGTTCGAGCCCCGCTGGGGCGTCTTTCTTATTTCTTAAGCTTTGTATATTATAACCTTAACGTCGTCTAACGCTCCAAGCGCGTCGCTTCTCTGTCGATCGTCCATGAGCTTCGTTCAGAACGATTTTCTCGTAGAATGAGCGTCACAATACACGTCCTGTGTTAAGATAAGAATTCCTGAGAGCCGGCCAATCCCGAGGCTTCTGAGTTTGTAGTTGTGGGAGAGTCTTGTCCTGCTATTCTTAACCTGGAATATACTAATGTGTTTAGTTTTTATTCGCCGTAACTTAACTCCACCCTAAAATCCCCAACTCACCACGCCCCAAAAAGAGCCCACCTCCTATTTCTTCCCCTTTAAAGCGATAGTATCACACTGGAACTTTCCGCGGGTCTTTCTTGCTCGAGGTCTGACCAGATTACGTCCCAATGTCATGCGACGTCACGGTCACGTGACATCAATTTACCCGCTAGAGATATAGTCGGGGAATTGACGTCACTGTTTCAAGTCGTGGTGTCATGTGACCTCAGGTCGCATGACGGGACCACGTGACGTGAGGTCACGCGACATCCATTTCCCGGCTAAACGTAGCACGGAAATCGTCGAGGTAGTCACGTGACGTGGTGTCATCGTGGTATGTGACGTCAAAGTGTCACATTACGTGACATCAAAGTGTCACATTACGTGACGTCAAAGTGTCACATTACGTGACGTCCCAATTTTCCCCGCTACATCAGGCAGATATTATATCACCTATACTCCAAGAAAAGTGATGCTCCTTAAAAAAGAATCCAATAAGTGCTATTGCAACTTTATTGAATTTGACGAAGGGTCTACGCTGGGCGATCTTTATCTGTCCAACGTGGGTTGGCCTTGATTCGGGAATGTAAGGTACATCGAAAGCTTCCATATGGAACATTGGGATCCCTTTTAAATGTTTACTTTGTGTCCGCAGGAATATATGAAACTCCGTGCACGACTGGAGGAGCTCAAGCTGACCATGAAAGCGCCCATGTTCGGCGTCGCCGATCCCAAGGCCAACCCGCTTCGTCGCAATGGCGTCTGGGACTCCTGGCTGGACTAGAGCCCCAATCGGCGACTGAAATTTTGCTACGGCGTTCACAGTACACACGTAGACTCCCCGCAATACTATATTTATACGTTTCTTGCTGCACCTAGGTCCGTTTTCAGTCACAATCTCTTAAACAAGCGTTCAGCTAACTGATCGCCTAGCAATTTTTGTATGAAAAAATACAGCTTTAAAATATCTTTTTTTTTAATAGCTTTAACACAAATAGGATGTTAGGCCTTGTGAATTCTTAGCGTTGCTTGAGAAATAAAGGTTGAATATGGTCGGTTCATGCCGTCTTACTAGTGCAGCCCTGCCGGACACTTTTGAAAATATCCGAACTCATGTTATTAGTCAAGCAATTGATAAAAATAAAACGTATGATTTCTAAAAGGCCATATCACAAATCCTCGACGGCCAGACAATGAATGAACGGATGCAATACCGAGAGCTGTTACAACATGAAGTGGGCTAAGATCGAAGGCTGAATCATTTGTCTAAGATAGAAAGGTGGCCTGGGCCATTTAGCTAAGATCAATGATGTTCTACATATTTTGGCTTAAATCAAAGACGTTTTCAGCCATTTGGTCAAGGTAAAACGTGTTTTAAGCCATTTGGCTAAGATCAATGACGTTCTCAGCCTTTTTACTAAGATCTAAGGCATTCTCGACCATTTGGCTTAGAGAGAAGGTGTTCTCAGTCATTTTGCTGAGATGAGAAATGTTGTCAAACGTTGAACTAAGATTGAAAGCGTCTTCAGCCATCTGGCTAAGATAGAAGATGTTCTCAGCCTTTAGATGAGATCAATACCGTGCTAAGCCTCACTCTCAAAAAAAAAAAAAATACTTGAGGTACACTTAAGCACTTCTTATGAGTTGTGGATTCGGAAGCATGCACGTCATTCTTCCGCTCCCTTATTTCGTCTGCAGCGTATTTGCGTCGACCGCAGAGCGCGCCCTCTCCCAACACCCTCTCCTTGCCGCTCTGACCTTGGACGCTCCATGTTAACGGCGCGCTGACTAGCGCTGACTAGAGTTCCTGTATTCGCCTCGAGATCGAACCGTGTCGCCACCGCGCGGCCGAAATTGGAAACGCGCGAAAGCGGGGATACCGGCGTGCGTCGTCTGCTACGGACGCACGCTGAGAAGCATGGATCTTGACGACGCAAGCCCGTTTCAGGCTGAGCTTGACATTCCTTATTAAATGTTTTATGTTTTTGTTTCCGTTTCTTCTTACTAAAGGTTGTGTTGTATCGTTCGCCATGCGTAGAAATTCAGCAAAGCGATTATTATTAAGTCGGAAGCTTCCATAATCTTAGTGTGTTGTTTTTTATACAATCGCTGGTCCCGCGTATTTTGTTATCTCGCACAAACCTTGGCTTTCATGAAGCATTGAATGTTGAGTGGGCCTGTGGTTTGATTAGAAAATTAACCCGACTGATCGCTATCCCCTTTAATAGACTAATCAATCAATAAATCCGTATGTTGATTTTTCGCCGGTCACATTGCGCGAAGGACGTTAAAACTAAACATTTTTCTACTGGTTTTACTATGTCATAAATGGCATATTGCATTCCCATTATAAACTTCACGTTGGGAGTCCTACATAAATATGAACACGGGAAGCCTATTAAAATGAAGTATTTTTTAAGTTATTATTTAAACAGTATAATCCCCCTCGGCGAAATGACAAGCACGCTGTAGTGGTGTACCGTGCAAGCCTGTGTCACAAAAGAAGTAAAGACGTCAAAAATATTAAAGCGGGCATATTTTACTCCTTGTTGACTTTATCCAGCAGAAGACTCCAATTAACCGGCAGAAAAAAAAATTGCAATTAAAGCATTACTTGAATAATCTGAAAGTTAATCGATGAACTGCTCAGTCCCGATATACGTTAGGTGAGGGCGGAGGGTGATCGGAAAGTCTCGTGAGGGTCGCTAGCCCTCATCAGTAAAAGAGTATCACTGCGGCCGATGTTGTCTGTGTCGTGGTGCGCGTTGTTTGTTTGGGTTGCAACTCACCGTGTTTGAATACAAGATTATTTAGCCAGAAATTTATAGTATTACCTCTTGACATCCTCGGCCCTCAGCGAGAAAATTGAAGCGGGTGAACCCACACTACCGAGAAAGCATTTAATAATAGGAACATTGCTGCGTTGCTCGGTTACACTCGTTTATTACAGTCACGGCAGATATATTAGAACAGTTTGTTTCGCTTGTTTCAGTTGTCCTGCCAACCGTGCAGTTTGCAGATTTTGACTAGAAGAGACACTCCCTCCTCATCGCAACGCAGTAGATTTGTTCAGACTCCAAAAAAACTTATCCACACTATGGCACAATGAAAGGGCAGAGGAACTCAATAGCATAATAATTTCCAATACAGCGCTAACTTATTTTCATTCCAAATATTTATATTACTGTAAAAGCTAGACGTTAAAAAAAGTATAGAAGCTGCGATTTCACAACCCACAGTACCAGTATTATGTTATCTGGGTTGGAATTTATTCTTTTTTTTTAATTCCCACGTTGATGAACCGATACATCCATTTTAAAAGAAACAAATATTTAACATAAATATTCCAGTTCAGCCGGAGACAGGCATCAGTCGTGGTGATCCATGCTTTCCAACGTCTGCCTAGAGCAGACGACGCACCCACAGAAGCGATTATATAAATTTAGGCCGCACGCTGGCAACACGATTCGATCTTCACTGAAGCACCGAACAGTACTGGATCCTTTTCCGCTAGAATTGTTTTCCCACCGATAGTACGCGACAAAATAAACGCAAGAACCTACGCCGTCTAGCGCGCGACCGTGGAGAGCCTATGGGGCGGCCGTTCTACTATCCCCGCTTTGATGATGATGATAGCGCGGATGTAGCGCCACCTCTAGGTCGATCTCGAGGCCAATAGCTACCTACGGTAGCAGAGTTGCGCATTCAGCCTCGGCGCGTGGCCGTAGCGCCGGCTTTCCCGCACGAGATGGATGCTTTGCTCCTCACGTGACTAAATTTGGCGAATAGCGGCGCCGCGCGCGCCGCCGCGCATGGAAAACAGGAGAGGAGGAAAAGGAGGCGGAAAGCAGGGAAACATACGCCGGGGCAAGAGAAACGTCGGCGGAGCGACCGTAAAGGTGGCTTTCTTGCACGCCAACGGATGCTTTGCTCCTCACGTGATGGATCTCGGCGAAAAGCGGCGTGGCGGCGCGGGGAAAACAAATGCGCAACTCTGGCTCCCGTAGGGAGCCTATACAGGAACTCTAGCGCTGACTAGAGTTCCTGTATAGGCTCCCTACGACCGTTGGTAGCATATACAGGAACTCTAGCGCTGACGGACACGCAGCGCCATGGGGTGAGCGGTTGTGGAAACTGACGCGCAGCGGCCAATGGGAGCCTCGTCGACGCGCGCCAGCCAATGACATCGAAGTCGAAATCCATCAACTTTACTCCGCTTTTTGGGGATCGGTAAAACTAGGCGCTGTTGTCTAGGCTTTTCGCGTGGTTTCGTAGCTGGGAGCTGACTTCACTTGGAGAAAGGATTTAAGGTGCCATTTGGTGGCTTCAAACTGATGACGTCGGCTCGCTCCATGGGACGGTTAATGCTTTCACATTGAAAGGTATATTCTTACACCCCTTGTCCCATATACCACACCCCAGAGCTTCAGTTCGACGTATAGCGCGCTGACGTCGAACCGACGGTACCTACTTTCACGAGCGGCTTGATAGCCGAATGGTACAACTTATTAGAATAGTTGATGTACGTGTTACTGACTACAAAAAAGTAATCGGGGTTTTCTTTGCCCTAATGCAAAACCTCAGTGTTTTTTTTTTTTCTTCTAGTCTTCAATACGTATTTTATCTGTTTAATGAGGTATATATCACCGTCAGGGCCGTACCCAGAAAAAAATTTCGGGGGGGGTTTTCGGGGACAACGGCGGCCATTTTGAAAATGTCTATTGTCTTATTTTCGCCTATGAATCATGTGCATCGGTGGCATACAATGGAGAGTTATAGCAAACCGGAGAACCGGTCCCGGTTTGGTACCCGGTAGCCGACCGGCGCCACTGCGCGTGCGCAGAGGTGGAGATTAAAATCGGCTGGCTGCAAGTGCACCGACCAGGGCCGTACCCGGAAAACAATTTCGGGGGGGGGGGGGGGGGGGGGGGGGGGGGGTCAGAACCCCCTAACCCCCCCCCCCCCCCCCCCCTGGTTACGGCCCTGATCACTGTTCTCAAGCCCCTCGTAAAAGTTGGGGCCGTCTGTCCGACGTCAGTGCACTGTACGTAGAACTGAAGTTTTGGGCTGTCGTATATACGACAAGGGGTGTAAGAATATACCCTTTTTTTCTCAGAGTGCTTTTTTTTAAGATCGAAGGTGTTCTCAGACATTTGACTGAGATAGAAGGTGTCCTAAGACATTTATTTATTTATTTATTTACAGAGTACCTACATGCCTCGAGGGCATTATTGTACGAGGGGCAGGAAATAACACACATACATAAAAAACACAAAATGATCACTTTGTGTTTTTATGTTGTCTTTTTTTTTTTTTTTTTTTTTTTTGCTGAGATCAATATTGTTTTGAGCCCTTCGGCTAAGATCGAAGGCGTGCTCAGCCATTCGGTTAAGATAGAAGCTGTTCTCGGCCATTTGGCTGAGATCAATTATGTTCTCGGCATTCTGGCTAAGATCGAAGGCGTTCTCAGCCATTTCGCTAAGATAGAGGGTGTTCTGAGGCATTTGGCTGAGATAAATAATGTTCTCGGCCTTTTGGCTAAGATCGAAGGTGTTTTCCGCCATAAGATAGAATGTTGTCTCAGCCATTTGGCCTAAAGCAATAATGTTCTCAGCCTTTTGGCAGAGACCAAAGGCATTCTTAGCTATTTGTCTAAGATAGGATGTCGTCTAAGCCATTTGGCTAAGGTAGGGTGTGTTCTAAGCAATTTGGTTGAGATCAATGACATGCTCACCCTTTCAGCTAAGATTCCCCCCTCCCTGCCAAACAAACGCACACACACACACACACACAATTTTACCCCTGCAAAAGCTTCAAATGATTAAACTGAACTTTTCAAACTGGTTATTCTTGTATGGCAGATAATCAAAGGTTCAACATAATATGAAAGTGCTCTAACGTGAGATATAAATTAGTGGCAGAAGTAATAGTTTTGGAAAACATCCGCAAGAGGAATTTCATTTACACGAGATTCAAGAAAACAAAATCCGGGAAAGGTAAGTCAAAAACGAAACAAGAACTTTTTTTTTTTTTTTTTTTTTGGGGGGGGGGGGGGGGGGGGGATTTGCTTTTGGCTGACTTTTAAAACGCTTTGTAAGAAAAACACGCTATACCGTTTAAACACGCTATACCCTTATTAAATACAGTGCGCATTCTTACTTCGTCAGAATTGCTCCCCAACCCTGCCCGTCAGGATCCGGATGAGTATATTACCAGTGTGCGTTCGTGTATCACTATTGCGTGATGCACGTTGAAGAC